AAGTCTCTGTGCCATTATTTGGGAGCTAGCTGGCAGGACAAAAAAAAAAAAAAAAGATTCCCTATATATGGTGCCCAACATGGGGTGCATACTTCCATATAAGACATGAGAAAGCTTAAAACAAAGTTCCAAAACACACAAACATGGGGCTAGACATGGCTTCCTAGTCTTGCAGTCTCCCAGGCAGCCCTTGGCATACAGAAACATGGCTCCCAGCCACTGCCTGTGGTTTTGAGCCAGCCAGTGCCACGTGCAGAGCTGTGCAGTGGGTTTAAGGCTTGGCTCACATTGTCAGAGAAGGCTGTAGGAATTCTATAAAGTAGTCCAGACCAAGAAAACCTTTAAACAGATACAGTAAAAAGTAAGTATAGACAGTCATACAAAATTGTTTAAAAATAATAGTCTTTAGCCGGGCGGTGGTGGCGCACGCCTTTAATCCCAGCACTCGGGAGGCAGAGGCAGGCAGATCTCTGTGAGTTCAAGGCCAGCCTGGACTACCAAGTGAGTTCCAGGAAAGGTGCAAAGCTACACAGAGAAACCCTGTCTCAAAAAACCAAAACAAACAAACAAACAAACAAAACAAAACAAAAAAATAATAGTCTTTAAAGAGACAGTAAAGTAATATAAAAGAAAAAAGCCATGAAAAACGAGAAATACACAGGGCATCTGGATCCTGTATGGTGTTTTGTTGACTTTAAATTTTTTGAATACTGATGAGTGAATGGCAGCTGCTGAGGGACATTGGATTATGAAAAGGAAGACTGCTGAATTAAACCAGCCTAGATACTTTAGAGATGTCTTGACTTTAGAATGGAAGTTGGAAAATGTGTTGCATTGGGGGAGAGGTTATGCCTTCATTTCCACAGGACGCAAAAAGTTATTGTTCTCTTTAAAATTAATGAAAATCAAATTTGATTGGGGGAGACTACATACATGAAGAAAGAAACCAAGAAAGACTACAGGACAGGTAACGAATATGCTGATCCCTCTAAAATGGGAACAGCTATTAGACCGGATTAGACATGATACATCTTGTTGGCTACAGCGTGCTCATGACTTATTATTACATGCCATACTTTCATATGGCATGGATAGAGGTTTGGTTATACAGTCCAAATGGACTTATAAAGTTAACAGATGCCTTTTGCCTGCTCAAACATAAAACAAAAAAAATCAACTTTAACTGACTTGTGCACACTGCACATTCCACACTTATGTTAACGCAGATAGATTACCTTTAAAAGTTTATGTATTTTCAGAAAAAAAGGACTAGACACCAATAAAGATAAGTAGCCTAAATGATCCAGCCTCTCAGAATGCCTCTACTGCAGCTTTCTCTAAATTCTGCATCCAGAGCAACTTCAAAGCTGCTAGCTTAGATGGTCCAGCCTCATAGACTATCCAGCCAAGACTTCAGATAAGCTCTGTATTTTCCTATCACACAGAGACTAAACAAAATATAGTATAGTTAGCTCTCCCAGGACTTGACCATTATCCCAATTTTCTCACCATCCCAACATCAACAGGAAGCAATCTAGAGAACATGATACCCACATTCCCAAGAGGTATGGTGGGTGGTTTTTGGTCATTTGATGGGTTGTGGATATTTGTCATCAGTTAGAGGGATTGGTTACTCGTTGTTAATGGTCATGGTCAGAAAAAAGCTAAACAAATGAGATCAGATTCAGGGATCTCTTTCTGGAAGGAAAAAGGGGGGATAGCATATAGAAATGATGGAATGAAAGGGTGGATTGTTGAGTCTACTTTTAAACAACTACTTGTCTCAAATATTTTATATTGGTATGGATTTTTTTGTATTGACACAGATTCAAAGTTATTATTATTATTATTTTATTGGTTTTGGAGACAGAGTTTCTCCGTATAGTTTTGGTGCCTGTCCTGGGTATCGCATTGTAGACCATGCTGGCCTCAAACTCACAGAGATCTGCCTGGCTCTGCCTCCCAAGTGCAGGGATTAAAGGCATGCCCTAGAGGGCCTGATCCAGTTGGCGGCTCCTTAGCTATTGGTTCATAGTTCATGTGTTTCCACTAGTTTGGCTATTTGTCCCTGTGCTCTTTCCAATCATGGTCTCATCAATTCTCACTCATACAATCCCTCCTCTTTCACGCCGATTGGACTCCTGGAGCTGATAAGTGAGACAGTTGATTAACTTGAATGGTTTGGAAGGCCCCCAGGCAGTGGGACCAGGACCTGTCCTTAGTGTATGAGCTGGCTGTTTGGAACCTGGGGCCTATGCAGGGACACTTTGCTCAGCCTGGGCAAAGGGAGGAGGGGACTGGACCTGCCTCGATTGAATCTAACCAAGGTGAGCTTAATCCCCAGGGGAGTCCTTGCTCTAGAGGAGATGGGAATGGGGGGTGGGCTGGGAGGAGGTCAGGGGTGACTAGAGGAGGGAGGAGAGGGGAATCCGTGCCTGATATGTAAAATTAAATTACATTATAAAATAAGTTTAAAAAATCATGCCCCACCACTGCCTGGCCCAAAGTTATTTTTTTATAACATATATATGTTTCTACTCTTGTTTAAGGTATTATATCTATGCAGCTCATTGAAAAATGTAATGTAAAATTTTAGTCCTTGAAAGCTACTCAGGTTAATAAAGAAAGAAAGGTTAGTAATTAGTCATCTGTAACAATCAAACTTATAGTCAAATTAGATATGTTTTCAAGGTCAAACAGAGATATATTTTCAGTAGATAGTTGGTCTTCAAACACTTCAAAGAACTACAGAATATGGCATTTAAAATATTTTAATAACATAAGGCTTTTCATGACAGTGAGACATGTCTGCTCCTGGCAGCGCCAATCTACTTCAAAGAAGATGACGGTCATAGAAGAACCTCCATATGGAGTTTGCTTTCAATGTGGCAAAGCTAGCCATTTGGGAAAGAAACTGTCCTTCCCTTGACTGTTGATAGTATGCTGTCCAAACTGGACAAACAGGACACAAAAAAATGACCGCCAAACTTTGACAAAACAAGGTAGGACAGTTCTTTAAAATTCCTGCATCATAGAAAAGCCTGTCAGATATTCTAGGCCTGTTGGCTATAGATGGATGCCACAACATTGCAGAATTCAGAAAAGAAACTTACATAAGAGATATAAAATAAATAATGTTGAAAAACATAAAAGCTTACATTGTTTATCTCAAAAGATATTTTAAGGTCTAAAAATATCTCTTAAGATGGCAATACAAGTTATGATAGAAAGTGGTTTAGGTATAAAACTTTGGACTCACTACGATAGTATAGATAATACAGTACATTTCCTGAATTTACCAAATACAAATGGACTGAGCATGTGAATGTAATCTTTACCTAATAATTGTTCTTATTGTATATAGACAAAGGGGGGAATGTTGTAGGATATTTGCACAATGTGTGAAGATGTATTTGTTGTAATTGGTATAATAAAAACCTGAATTCCAATAGCTAGACAAGAGGTATAGACTGGATTTCCAAGGAGAGAAAGGAGGAGGAAGAAGAAACTAGGCATGCGGGAGATGCTAAGAGACATGCAGAGGAAACAGGAGGTACAAGATGAAAGAGAGGTAATGCCATGTGATAGAACATAGATTAATGTAAGTGGGTTAATTTAAGTTATAAGATCTAGTTAGGAACAAGCCCAAGCTATAGGCTCAGGTTTCATAATTAATAAGAAGTCTCCACATCATTATTTGGGAGCTGGCTGTAAGAACAGAAAAAGAGTCAAAACATCAATCCCTAACTATAGTCTGAACATTTGTCTTTATATCCAAAGATTAGTGCAGTCCTCACCCTGCATCAAAGGAAGTTCTCTTTGCAACAGACAAATATCATTACAGAAAACCACAACCAACCATAATGCTGAGTTGTGGAGCCCAGTTCCAACAGATACATCTACAAAACAACCCCCACACCTAAGGTTCAGGGAACAGTGCAGAAGAGAGAGAAAGATTGATAAGAGACAGAGGAACAGGTTATTTGTTGTGTGAAATTGTATTTCCCAGGGATGTCAGAAGCTACACATACCCATAAGTTTTACCATCATGACTGCCCAAACATGAGATGAACAAGGACAACAATAGATATGCTAAAGAGACTAGAGGAAAGCTCAAGAGGGTTCAGCCCTACACAAAGAACTACAGACAACTAAGGGACAGTGGGAGAGATAGCCTTTCCCAGGGAAGAGCACACCAATTAGTTATCCAACACCAACTAGCCCTAAAAACATACAGAAAGTAACATTACACAGATTGAGTAGGTTGTATACATATATGTATATAACAGCAATTATTGAAAAAGAGAGGCCATGAATTTGAAAGAGAGCAAGGGGAGTTTTGAGGGAGGAAAAGGAAGGGGGAATGGTGTAATTATATTATAATCTCAAAAACTAAAAGAAATAATTAGAATGAAAACACAAGGCCAAATAAGTTGAACTGACAGCTACACATGATATAACAATAAGAGGACAGTGAAAAACATTGAAAGAGGTACTAAACTGAAGGATCAATCTCCTTCAGAAAAGAGTGGATGCTGGGACAAATAAATACTAACACCAATCAACAGTTATTTTGGCAGAGTATCAGATTGCTACCGCTACTACAGCTTTATATTTATGACATATGAAGGTTGTTTGATTCCCAAAGAATGAACAGAGATTTGTCCAGCAAACTTAGATATAACCTGCAAAATTTAAAGCTCTGTTCTTACCAGTGTAGAAACAGTGGCCTAAGCTTTGGAAACATGATTTGCTTTGCTTTGAAAGCTTTGAGGGCAACATTGTATTTTGATGGCATCCTCCAAAAACCTCAGAAAAGACTATTAGACACTTGAAAATAAGCATTTTTTGCAAATGCACATTTTTTTATGCAAGGTATCACTCTTGATCTCTCCAAAATATCAGGTCTTAGAGACTAGAATGACTTGAAGTTGCAGTGAATCCCTCCAGGCCTGAATTGCAAAGACAGCCAAGAAAAAGAAAGAACTGGCCTCCTATACCTTATTTCACCTTCTCTAATGTGACCTGCCAGTTCTTCAATAAACTTCTCGCCTTTCATCCAATAGATCATTGGTCCAGATTCTCCACTGAATCCAAAGAATGCTTTGCAAGGTATGTTCAGAGGTTTACCTAAGAAAGAGAGAAAAAAATAAATGAGCAAATCTCTTCCTGTTCTTATTGAGAGACAAGGATGGACAGTTAATATACAAAGGAAAACTCAGAGGTGCCCTATTTTCCAACAATTCTTGTATGTGATTTAAAAAAGTTATTATGGGGGCTTTGGGGAAATTATACAATTCTAGCTAATATAAAAATTGAAAAGTAAATAAATTATTACTTTATAGCATTGCAATTATACTGTACCTCTCCCAAGAACTGACATGAAAGAGTAAAATGGAAATGATCCCTAATTATTTTTCTTTTTTGAGAGTTCTAAATATCATTTACAAGGAGTTGCCTTTAAAATTAAAATTATTTAAGAGCATAAGATAATTCTTTGTAAGTGAGAAAGCATATCAATAATAGAATATCCACTATTAAGACCATATAGACTTTAATTTGTTTCTTCCTATTATAGTCTATTTTAGGAAAAATGATATAGAATGGTGATTAAATTTTGGTGTTGATGTGAAAGGATTAAGGGATACCATGATAGCTGGTCATCATTATTTCTGGTCACATACATGAGACTTTTTTAGATCTGATCTGAAAGATCAGAGAAGCAAAGCAAGTCAGCCACAAGTTCTTACCTCTACAAAATGCTCAGTCTAAAGAGAGAGAGAGAGAGTACCTGTTTCCTCACACCTAATATACCTTTCTGTGTCCTGCCACATTACTTCCTGGAATTAAAGGCATATGCCTGCTTCTGTTTCTCTCATGTATCCCAGTGTTGCCTTGAACTCACAGAGATCCCGATGGATCTTTGCCTCCTGAGTGTAGGATTAAAGATGTGTGCCACCACTGCCTGACCTCTATGTCTAATTTAGTGGCTGGTTCTGTCCTCTGATCTTTCAGCTTTCATACCATTATCTGGCTCCAGGTTTTCTATTAATAAGACCTTTTAAGAATCGTGTTACATCTGGCAACCCAATGTTTGTAGCACGAATTCATGAAAAAGCCACTTGCCTGGGGCTCAGGCCCAAGCTACACACAGCCAGAGTCTCCACCCCAAGTGGCCTGGAGTCCCTAACCAGCTGGATCCAGATGGCTGGATCTTTCACTTCTCTCCTGGTGGGTTGTGGGCTCTTCCTGGATCCACATCTCAGGCTGCTACCACACTAGGTAGCTGCCTTGAAACCCACTTGGGCTTCTACTATTCTATGCAGTTGGCAGAGTTGGTGCATCAATTAAGATTTCTTGCCGGGCAGTGGTGGTGCACGCCTTTAGTCCCAGCACTTGGGAGGCAGAGGCAGGCAGATCTCTGTGAGTTCGAGGCCAGCCTGGG